TATTCTTGCAGCGACGTTAAAACTCATTTCACATCACCTGAGGTTATTATTCTAAAAAATACACTGCTTAACACATACACCCCACAGTACCTTCATTGTTTTATTTGATGTGTGTCATATCGACAAAATGTATAACCTTATCTTAAAATAAATTGTAAATGTAAAAGAAAAAATGTGCGATCATTTTATTGCTTTTCAAGTTTCCGTTAAAAGTTGTGATTGACAGTTATGTTGTCTCCTAAAGTGCATGTGTAATACGTTGACTGATTGGATAGGCTTTGTGTTACTCTCATCTATCATTTATCATGTCACTACCATGATCTTTGTTTAAATCTTGTTCATTTAACCACTAACGCTAAGAAACGGAAAGATTTATGAAAAAACACGGTGTGTGGGTGTTACACGCAGATTAATTTTTACAACAACAGCAATAACAATAAAAAAAATAATTTTGTGTGTGTATAGGTGAGTATGTTGAGAAGAACAGTAACCCTGCAGAGTCGTTTGGTTGGATGAAGTCGGCTGGCCCGGAAAGTGATACACAAGGCTTTCTTTAACGACATGATTGCCTGGTTCGATCCTTTTTTTCTTGTCTTCGCAATGCTTGTAGTTTAAACTCCGATTTTTCCAGAAGATGTTGATGGCGTCAGGAAAATGATAATGATGAAACTGTTTGGAATAGGCCCATACACAGCCTCCGACGTATCCAGGCCAAGAAACCTGATCTTGACCTTTTTGATAATTCCAATGAAATCAATTTTATCATCGAATTCTCGGGCCCTTTGTACACTCACGCGAATCACAAGAATACAGTGGACGATTCCGACCATATCATTAGCATGAGTTTAGGAATTACTATCAATTCGTGATTATACCAGGTGTTCGCGAGAAGGTGAGCGTATCCTGCCCCACCAGTGGCACCAGTCACAAACACATGCGAAGGCAAGTGAACCGTTCATCTGAAAATACACGGAAACATACGGAAATGGTAAAAGAGGGAACTGCATCGGACATCATGGCCATTTTTGGAATTGTGTTCCGCATGTCTACCAAAGAACCTCACCAAAGCAATGAATGCTGTAACCCTGATCAAACAACTTTTGAGAAAGCGTCCTATGACGCTCATTGAAATCTTTGTAGAAAGACCATGCTCGATTGTACATCAGTAGTTGTAAATTGTGGACACCAAAAGCTAGAGTTGCTGGATCATTGCTTGACATAAAGGGAAAGTCGACTTTTGGAAAGTTGAAATATATGAAAAATATGTTAAAACACAATTAAATGTCAAGTTCTTTCCAAAACAAAGAAGTTAGGATTTCGGTTGCAAAATAAAAACGGCAATGGCATTTTGCAGCTAGTTTCATGCACGAACTGTTCTAAAAGTCTCCATTATCTTTCATCTTCAGGGGCGGTCGGGGAGCCTGGTGGTTAAAGCGTTCGATCGTCACGCCGAAGACCCGGGTTCGATTCCCGACATGGGTACAATGTGTGAAGCCCATGTGGTGTCCCCCGCAGTGATATTACTGGAATATTGCTAAAAGCGGCGTATAACCATACTCACTCACTTTCATCTTCATTTCAAAGTGCAAACTTCAGTTCTCCTGATAAGAGTATCCTGTCTTCGTGTATAAGAACTATATACACTATAAAAAATGAAAAGAAAAACAATATAAAAAATTATACCCCACAAAAAAATAAGGGAATAATATGATAGTGAAGGTGTAATGATGATAATTGTCTGTACAATGAATGTCGGGTGTGTACATCAATATCGGGCGTGTTCACTTTGTTTGGCGGTGCGTGCATGACACCTTGATGGCATACTGTTGATTAACCTGCTATGGTTGCCCTTGGTATTACCCGCCATTCCGCATGAAGAGCTTCTCCATGCTGGGCCACATTGGCGGGAGCTTCGTCTCTGACGTACACTCCTTGCTCGAGAACATACCACAGATGCTCTGTGGGGGACAGTCAGGCCAATGTCCGTATGCCTTCTCGCCACTATGTGGTCCTTCCGACAATTCTAGCGAATGGAACAACAAGACGCAAAATTTCGTCCACCTATCGCAGGCCAGTCACATGTTCATTCACAACAACTAAATCAGTTCGCCTGTCACGTGTGATACCGCCCCACACCATGACTCTACCACACATACCGATCATGGTCAAGAATAGTTGCCCAGGCATACCGCTCGCCGCTACGTCGCCGACAATGTTTTCTGCCATCTGTGAGTCGGAGGCAAAACCTTGAATCGCCTAACGCCATTGGTTCACAGCCCGTCTCTGGTGTTGCCAAGCCCATCCCAATCTTCGCCACAAATGGTGAACTGTTAGAGTCACACCCTTCACAGGACGCCTTGCTTTCAGGGGGCTGCGTGGTGCCGGCGTTTGACAGAAGGTGTTAATATTCGCCCTCCTGTGATTGTTTTGTAATTCACGATTTTTAACAAGAGGAGATTAAAATAATTGGCGTAGTGCAATACTGTAATGATACGTCTTTGTGTCGTTTCTTAGGCCTGCCACTCATAGGTCTCATTGCAACCCCACCAATTTGACGGTGCTTGTCCCATAGTCGAGAAATGAATCTTTTTGATTTGCCAAACATGCGGACAACTTGGAATATTGACGCCCCCCTCCTTTATCGTACTCACAATTTGCCATTTAGTCTTTCCAATAACATTTCTTTTTCTCGGATGCATTTTAAGCGGGTGCTCAGCTCACCTGATTCACCTTGACGCGCAAACAATTTGTCGTCGGTGTGCACGTGCATTACGTGCTGTTCATGCATGATGTGAAATGTCATTGTGATTAGATGTTGCGTTCTCTTTGTTACGTCCACAATCACCTACAGCCACTGTCGCCAAGCTGCTTGCAATGATGGAAGCCATGTTTGCCACGAAGCCACGAATAGTTGTGCCACTAATTAGCCATGATAAAGGTCACACAGGGCTACACATTACTTACAGGGATGCAGACGTGGCTCAGTCTACACCTGGTCGTGTCATTCCACATACAACTCCGCATATACTAAGCTTTATTTGGCGTTACAGTTACCATGAAACCCTGTGCAGTACAGCCTGAAGATGTCCGGATGAAGACATTTCCAGATTAACGATTTGTAGTAATAGTTACATACAGTCAAGTCTCGTTAATCCGACACTCGTTAATCCGACAATCGGCTTTATCCGCTTTAGTAACATCTCTTTAGTTTATATACTAGTTATAAATAATAACAGAGAAAAGCGTTAAAATCCGTTTCATATTCAGAAGAGTCCATAGTACGATCCCGACTACATCATGCTGACTTGGTTGATGCATGTTATCGATCCCAATTGCGTGGATCGATGCTCATGATATCAAACACTTGATTGTCTTGCTCAGACAATTTATTTACAGACCCCCGTCATATGCTGGAATATTGCGGAGTGCGGCGTTAAACAACAATGCAACCAACAAACCAATCGACTAAATCATCTCATGAACAATACGTGTTTGTTAATTGAATGTATAAAAATGTTATCAGCTCTATTAATTGTAGTCATGCTTCAACCAAGTCAGCGAGCCTGACTTCTCGATCCAGTTAGTCGCCTCTTTCGACAAGCCTTCGTTGCTGGAGACCAATTCAGGCCCGGATCTTCACGACAAGCATTGGTTGCTGAAGACCGATTCGAACACGGATCAGTAGCCTAACACTGCAAACTTAAGTCCCAAAAAACGTCGGATAACCATTTCTTGTTTCTTTCATTTTTACACACCATCAAATACTTCCCCTTTGCCCAGCAGTATATAGTCAAACTCATCATGTTCGACGTTTCATCACATTCAACTTTCCGTTATATCAGATAGTTGTTATATCTAACAGTCTGTTATAACAGCCTGCTCCCTATAGCCTTCCCTGTTATATAGCCTCCTCCGTACACATGGAACTTTTATTGAGGTGCAACGCCAGACAATAACCAGTCTCGATTACTTCCCCAAGCAGACTCCACTGGGCGAAAAAAAAGTAAACATAAAAAAAGGTATGTAATACAATATTTCTGCTTGTTGTTACAGAAGGGTTGTCTGGTTTCCCAGACTCTAGAGAATAAATATAAAAAACAACTCAAATCTAGAATTATTTGACAAATCTAGGCAGCCTCAGCTCTAGGCTGAAATTAAGCATTTTTGGGGCTCCATTTGTATTTTTGTTTGTTTGTTGTTTAACGCCGCACTCAGTAGTATTCCAGCTATATGACGACCGTCTGTAAATAATCGAGTCAGGACAAGACAATCCAGTGATTGACGTCATGCACATCGATCCACGCAATTGTGATCGATGACATGCATCAACCAAGTCAGCGAGTCTGATCACGTAATTTTTTATTTATTTATTTTTTGCATTTGTATTTTGTAGATTTTTTGTATTTGTATTTTGTAGATTTTGTAATTTTAAGTAAGATATGTTTATTTCTGTGTGTAAATGTTAGTCTGACAAACAGGTGTCATACGTGATTGTGCATTCATTTTTTTGGTGAGTACAACAATGTATATCACTTACACTTGTTCTTTATAAACATAAAAGAGACAAACGCTTTTCTTATATACCAGAAGTATCTGCCAAAAGCAGAGTAGTTTGTATCAATCCGATTGTATCCTGAGCATGTGTTTATGAATAACTGTCAAATAGTTATGATACCAGGTGTTCGCGAAGAGGCGAGCGTATCCTGCCCTATCGGTGGCACGTCACAAATACATGAAAAGGCAAGTCAATTGTTCACCTGAAAAAAAATGTGAACCCCTATGCAAACAAATTCGTACAAATTACCTCCCTTCATCTGATACTCCAACCCAAACAAAGACAGACACACAACAACACAACCCTCAATGTCATTAAAAATAAACACAACCACAAATATCAATCAAATCCACTTCGTGACAACACTGATCCCGTTGATGCATGTCCAGTCCAACTGACCAGCGTAGTGGCCACGCCTGATCCCAAAACGTCACCAGTGTGATCTGTCTGATGTTACGCAGTAGCCAGAACACCATTCATCACCAGGGCTGAGACAGGGAGAGGTACTCCCGCCGTTATAAGACACAGCCCCGACACCCACTCTCCGTCAGAACTTCCCAGCTGGACAGAAGACCAGGGTTACGCACGATGGCATCTGGATACATGTGTTTACTGCTTCTAGCAGGTAAGATTCAGATATTCCTTTAAGCAACTCCAGAATGCTATATCGAATGCAATATGCATCCATGCGCTTCGGTGTGCGGCGGATGTCAGTATGGTTGAACAATGTTGCCAGCAGGTACGACTCGGCTTTTCATATAATCAACAGCTCCATACGCGCATCCCCGTGCTTCTGTGTAGGAGGGGATTTGGGTACAGCCTATGTTTTTTAATGCTATGATGAGCAACTCAAGAATGTTATTTAATATGCACCATACATACACATGGGTTGTGTTTGTGCAGAAAGGATTTCATTGCGGTCGATTACTATGAGAGACGATGATTAGAACACTATGATAAGCAACTCAAGAATGTTATTTAATATGCACCATACATACACATGGGTTGTGTTTGTGCAGAAAGGATTTCATTGCGGTCGATTATTATGAGAGACGATGATTAGAACACTATGATAAGCAACTCAAGAATGTTATTTAATATGCACCATACATACACATGGGTTGTGTTTGTGCAGAATGAATTTCATTGCGGTCGATTATTATGAGATACGATGATTAGAACACTATGATGAGCAATTCAAGAATGTTATCCAATATGCACATAACTTGTGTTTGTACACAAGGAATTTCGCTATGGTTGTTTTTTGTGAGGTAAAAATAAATTATTTGAAAGCTATGATATCTAAAGAATGCGATATTAGGCACACTTAAATGTTAGTGTACGGTAAGAGAGGATTTCGATATGGTCGATTAGTGTGAGGTAACATGTTTAGAACACCATGATAAACAACAAAAAAAATGCTACATAATACACACATGCACCAACATGGTCTGTTTGAATAAATAATAAGAGATAATTTCGCTGTGATGGATTATTGGTTCTTGTAGGTAAGGATCTGTAAATAAAAAACTTGAAGCAAGAATAGGATGTCGTATGTACAAATTGACCTTTTGCCTCGGTGTTGTAATGTCGGAGGATAATGGCGTATGATCCATTATTGTTTATTGGAGTGAAGAATATTAACGCAATAATAAGTAGATCGATAATGATATAATGTGTGCAATATACACCCCTTGATCGGTTTTTGAAGTGCAGCATTGGGGCTTTTGGAATATTGATAGATTGATCGTGTGAACGCTGTGATAAGTTACTGTTACTCAAGATTGTCGAATGCTGCGGATGGTGATCTGGAAGACGTTGTGGTGTAGGGGCATGTACAGATGCTTCATACACCCTGATGAACGTATCACTTTAGCAGACATCTTGAGACATTTACTGATAATAAAACAACTATTAAATGTAAATATGATTTTTCGTAGTCTTCTGCATTAACAGAGACAAAAAATTCAGCACGTCTAAAAAGGACACTTCTACACGTCTACCTCTCAATACAGGGTTTTCCGCAACTTGATACGTGACTCAGTAAAGGTCACGCTCCATAAAATAGTTCTTGACGGCTGCACGCAAGTTTGTTCATTTACGTGAGCTTCAAAGTTTGTTTTCGTGAAACAGTCTGAGACATGGTCCAGTGGCGATAACGCTACAACATATGTGATAAGGACTTCATGTAAACATATTCATTTAATAAACATTTTCCTGGTCAGACGACATCACGACTCTGACAACTTACAAGACATGAATAGTAGCTGTTGTCAGGCGTGAGGGGTTTATCAGGAAATACTCCCTGTTCTGTCAACAATGAGTAAGGCCTGCATTTTTACGAGTTTGAAAATACAGCGAGAAAATTGTCTGAAAACTACAGAATGTCATTAGGAGACACAAGACCAAGTCATATGAGGACTTCCGGTTAGAATAGTTCTCCAGCAACCGGGTGGTCAGGCTCGGTGACTTAGTTTAAAGCGTTTCATCGTCCTCCGACGGCGTGGACCAGTGTTCAAAATATCAGTTCAGTTCTTCATTGAATTCAATTCCTTATACCAATAACTGGACTGTCTGGCCCAGACTAGATTATGCATACGCATTAAAGAACAAACAGACAAAGAAACAAGCAACAAAATTCGAGTCATAAATATGCTTTTAATGAATCGATAGTTTGCTGGTTTGTTTTATGTTTAATATACTTAGCAATATTCGAGCTATATGACGGCGGTCTGTGAATAATCCAATCCGGACCCCACAATCCAGCGACTGATATCATGAGCATCGATAGTGGCAATCCCGTTAGGCGCCTCTTACGACAAGCATAGTCACCCTTTATGGCAAGCATGGTACTTTTGGACTGTGTATCATGTGGTGTTTTAGTTTCTTCCTGAAATGCCATCAAGTTACATTAAAGTCTCCGCTTAACGCCCAATTATCTGCCCGTAATTAAGCTTGTCTCGACAAGGTGTTAGACCTTCACCCTTAATGAATTACAGTAAAACACCGTTGTGTCGACCTTCGATGTGTCGAACATTCGGTTGTCGCGAAGTAAACGCTTGGTCCATACGTATTCCTTGATTATTCATCATTTTTCGGTTGTGCCTAAGATCGGATAACTCGAAGTATTTACGTAGGTTCCTTTAATTTCGACACAACGGTGTTTGTACCATACTATAGCGGGCCTGTGTGTGAATGTAAATTTGAGCAACATAAATACCAGAGCAAAAACACAAATATCTAGACAAGATTATTAACAGCTTCCTTCAAGCGTGACAAACGTGAAAGCAGAGACGAGGATGTTAATGTTATATTTACGGTGCGCCCTCTCCTCTCAGTCTCTGGGTTGTCACGTTGTTTAACAAAGCGCCATGTTCTGCATACTGACCAAGCTATATCCGGCAGACCCTTGGATGAGTCAGGACGCAATGGAAGGCCATAACGTTACATATTACACTCTTTATCTCGTGCAGTTGCGGGTCTATCACGGTAATAACTTTTATGTAAAGTGAGTAAGTGAGTAAAAAAATAAACACTGCTTTAAAAAGCATTTCGTTGTTTATCGGCGTGTCAGCTGAAGTGAGAAGAGGTGAAATGGGGTTTAACGTCGCGTCCAAGATTATTGCACTTATATAGCGACCAACATGCAGGTGCATTTGGCTGATTTACTAGAAGGGACTAATTCCAATTTTCTAGTGCTAACCCACTGAGGTACCATGCCGCAGTTTAACACGAATACCCCACTCAGAAACAGTATACCGACCAGTCCTTGTTTTTGCCCCTTAATGCCGAGCGCCAGGCAGGGTAACAAAAAGACCTATCTTTTAACGTCTGTTGATATGACGCGGACGGGGATCGAACCCCCGAACCTCCGCTCTCCGCCTGACGCTTTATCCACTAGACCACGGAGGCGATCGTCAGCTTAAGTGTTCATGGACACAAAAATTGACGCGGATCGGTTGTGAAACCATATGTGACGACCACTGACTCTCTATGCAGAGTAGCGTCCCTTAGTCATGCCAGGATCAAGATATTGTTGGTACGAACCACAGATTCGTTCTATATGATTTGGTTGTTGGTTGTTTTGCGGCGTTAAACAACAAACCAACCAACAACCAAATCATATAGAACGAATCTGTGGTACCAACGATACCTTGATCCAGTGATGATTAAGGGACTCTACTCTGCTTAGAGAGTATGAAAGTATACAGCATTAACAATAATGTATTTATCACCCAAACCCTTAACAAAAGATATCGATTGGGTGAGATGAGGCGATATCACCCAGGTGACATTGCATCACAATGCTTTGCAGGTCATTGTGACGTCGTCACAATCGAATGACACCACTCACCGCCCTGCCACTGAAGCTAGTTAGGTGAATTGTTACACCCAAGACACTGGTCATTTCTGTATAAAAACTGACAAAGATCTAAGAGTGATTTTGGATGTTAACTAGAATCTTACCCTCCGAACTTTTGGAAAAATAATAATCAACAATCGTCGACAAAAGCATTGGAATTTTAACTTTTTCGACTCGTGCTGATATATCTGATATTTTCGCTATGTCATGAGATATGGTCAACGTCATCATACAGTAATTCAATAACTAAACATGACATGAAATATCAAATTTAAAAACATGATGTAAACACCATTTAATATGTTCAAAATTATTAATTATGGACAGTTTCATCAAGTAAATAAGAGGTAACTTATCGAGATGCTTATCATGTTAAGATATATCAGATGATATTAAATATGCCATACTGCATTCCACATTTGACACTTTGGAACAAAGACAAATGTTTTACTTTCATGTGAATATGGTATCAGTCTGAAGAGAAAAATGTCGGTTTATCGTAAGGACAAAAAGGATAGTGTTAAACATATATATCTTTTAAACGTTTGTACACACACACAATCTTAGGGTAAAGCAGGCAATTTATTTACGCTTTAAAGTGGAGACAGGATATATGAGACTTCATGTCTAAGAGCGCTGTGTGGAATTCGTCAGTGCCGATGATTGACAGGTGTCATTCTTATGTCACATGTAGCCTCCTGTTATGTCAGTTTCACGAGCCGTTGTCACGATCAGGACCTGATGGCGAGCGTCACCTTCATCATCTGACAGACTTACGTTGTTCTGCATGCTTGTGGACATGAGGCGAAGACGGTACAAGTAAAACAGAAGGTCACCACATAGTGTGCCGTAAAAGGCGACTATGCTTGCCGTACGAGGTTGACTTGGTTGACGCATGTCATCGTATTCCAATTACTTGGATCGATGCTCATGATATCACTCATTGGATTGTGTGGTTCAGACTCGATTATTTACAGACGAGAATATTCCTATTTGCGGCGTTTAAGAATAAACAAACACAACAGATTGATTGTATGCTCGTTTGAAACGTCGACCTGTTTACAGTATTATAGTAGTGACATATTTTGTCAGTGTTATTTACTAACCATCCGTGAATAGTCTGGCTTGCCAACATGCAATGGAATTAAGAAGGCGTGACGAAGTCATTTCTTAGACTCAACGAAATCAACTTCCCTGTTCAATTTTACCAAATCAGTCACAAAACGCTTTCCATAATCATTAGACATCTCAGTGTACGATTCCAAGTGGTACCCGTCACAAACACATGCAGAGCCAAGTAAAATGTTCACATGAACAAACACGCGAACATATAGTTCAAATCAAACTACGCAATTGCATTGGCCACCATTTTGATCAAATTTGGAAATGTCCTCCCCATGTCCACCATAAAACTTATTGAAAGCTTTACTGAGGCGAATTTATCAAATGTTTGATATAGTCAAGATGCTTCATTAATGATATCAATGGTTTAGTTTTTTTTATCATTTAAAGTATTCAAAGTAAAAAAATTGACAAAAGATCTGCGCTATAATCTTTTAGTGTAAGTACCCTTCATCAAAACGTCAAAGCCCTTATGTTTTATTTCTCGTATCTGTTATATGAGACAAATCACTGTTCACACAAAATCATAGCCTTGTATTTATAGAGACCTTAATTCTCGACCCAGTGTAAACTTAAGGTTGACACCGGATGTCCAGTAACCCCGGTGTGGATGTCGAGGTACACAGACATCGGCTCAGTCAGGAAATGTATTCGTCTGAAGTCATATCACTACAAAATATATCCTCAGTAGTTCAGACACATTGGATGAACATCGTGTCAGAGCCATTCCTGCACTTCGATACCTCAGCGTACGTTTTGCGGAAACACACGGTGATTCATATCTCTGATTCTATTACATAGCATTTGTGGTTACCCTAGGACACGTCCCTTATAAGTACTGGTATCAGTCAGTGTATCTTACACGTCAGAAGAGCTTACAGTTTGGCATTAAACCCAGCGACACTTCACGATCCATCAAACATAGGCATTTATGTCTGACGTTATGCTTTTGGTTCTTTATACACATGCGTTTTTTTTATTTAAATTGTTTGCATTTTCCGTCCTTTGTTCTGCGCGTTTATCATTCTGTGACGACAGCCTTAATTCGATTCTCATCTCCTTTTGGTATTCCTGGTTTGGTTATGTGGCTTGGTAGATTTCATGTCATCGTTCTCCGCAGTTTTAACATGGATATCCCACTCAAACACAGTCCACTGACTCCGATAATAACTAGCATATTGCTGAGTGTGGCGTAAATCAACAACCAAATGAATAACAGTGACCGTGAAAAAAGGAGAACAACCAAGTACTATTTAAATTGGGAAACTATTTTTTTAAATGAAAATACTACCACCAAAAGAAATGATTATGTTATAACTGTTATGTTTCGATTGAACGTATTTCAGACCTGCTTCTATTAAGCTATTCACCCCAATGTGTTTTGCATATTACGTGTTTACGTACGTTCAAATATTTACTCTCTTCCAGAGTCTACCATCTTGCTAAAGTTGTTCCAGGACGGATATTTATGCTACATCTTGTAGACAACCTCTATTCTTTTTTTTAAAACTTCCGCATTTTGTCCTGTGGAAGTACGAAGATAATGGGCACATATCGATGTGTTACTTTGTTTCGTCATGCTGTTGGAATTACTAGTGAAGTACCTTCTGTTCCAAGTGTTGTGATGAGTTTCTGTTAACATCTATCTCCAGGTAAGGAACATGTATATGTTCACTGCGTAGTAACAATCACTTTATCTTTTCCAGGCCTCCTCGTGGGCAGCAAGTGTCAAGAACCAGGTAAATATAGCAATAAATAATAATAATAATAATAATAATAATAATAATAATAATAATAATAATAATAATAATAACAAGTTAAATACTTAAAATGTTCAATTAGTCAAATACAAAGGTAAAAAAATATATAAAAGAAACGAAAGGTTAATGTAGATAATCGCAAAGAGCGATTTGAGATGGATAGGAGAAGAACATAATGTTTATAAAATACAAAAAAACAAAAAACATCTATTGTTCAACACTTCATACAGTTGTACCTCAGATACATTCATCGAGATGTCTGTGCAACATAACCTGTTTTAAAAGTGAATTTTAAATTCTACGAAGGAATTTCTGAATTTTTACTTAACATAACACCTGCCGCTTTGAGTCAGGTCGTTGATCGTATGCTGATTTATGCCCTCATTCTGTCGAGGATTTGAACGTAATCTGCATATACATTATCATAAACACGTCTTAACCGTGCATGTACCAGCAGCGAAAAGGAATCATACATTATATGCTTTCGAACAACAACCAGAAATTTTGTAGTATACATAATATACTTTGGAACAACAAACAGACACTTTGTAGTATACATTATGTATTTTGGAACAACAAACAGACACTTTGTAGTATACATTATGTACTTTGGAACAACAGCCAGACACTTTGTAGTATACATTATGTACTTTGGAACAACAAACAGACACTTTGTACTATACATTATGTACTTTGGAACAACAGCCAGAGACTTTGTAGTATGCATTATGTACTTTGGAACAACAGCCAGACACTTTGTAGTATACATTATGTACTTTGGAACAACAACCAGGCCTATGTAGTATACATTATGTACTTTGGAACAACAACCAGACACTTTGTAGTATACATTATGTACTTTGGAACAACAACCAGACACTTTGTAGTATACATTATGTACTTTGGAACAACAACCAGGGACTTTGTAGTATACATTATGTACTTTGGAACAACAACCAGACACTTTGTAGTATACATTATGTACTTTGGAACAACAGCCAGAGACTTTGTACTATACATTATGTACTTTGGAACAACAGCCAGACACTTTGTACTATACATTATGTACTTTGGAACAACAGCCAGACACAATCAGATGAAAAGAGGATGGGCTTGATACATGAGCACACACTTGACAAGGAAGTATACATGATACAATCCTAAAATAACGATCGGATGCCAGAACTTATACATTGTGTACTTTTGAACAACAAGAGGCTACAAGCAGTTACACATAATATACATCTGAACAACAATCATCTGCTGGGCAAAATACATTCGATACATATGAACAACAGTATTGCAGAAGGTATAAACATTATAAACATTTAAACAAAATAATTATATGTCGCGTATGTTATATACATTTAAACAAGAATATATGTAGTATACATTACATGCATTTGAACAAAAAGCTGATAAGTAGTAAACATTACATACATTTGAACACAAGGATGATATATTGTATACATTGTACACATTTGATCAACATGATGATATATAGTAAACATTACATGCATTTAAACTAGATGATAAGTAGTAAACATTGTATACATTTGAACACAAAGATGATATATAGTAAACATTGCATTCATTTGAACAAAATGACCAATACTAAACATTCTATACATTTTAACAAGATGATATGTAATATACGTTATATACATTTGATCAACATGATGATATATAGTAAACATTGCATGCATTTAAACAATATGATATATAGTAAACATTGTATACATTTTATCAACAAGATGATATGAAGTAAACATTGTATACAATTGAACACAAAGATGATATTAAGTAAACGTTACATACATTTGAACATAAGGATGATATATTGTATATATTACATACCTTTGAACAAGATATATACATTTGATCAACATGATGATATATAGTAAACATTCCATACATTTGAACAACATGATAATATAGAGTAAACATTGTATACATTTAAACAAGATGATATTTAGTAAACATGACATACATTTGAACAAGATGATATGATATATACGGTATATACATTTGATCAACAAGATGATATTTAGTAAACATGACATACATTTGAACAAGATGATATGATATATACGGTATATACATTTGATCAACAAGATGATATGTAGTTAACATTGTATACATTTGAACAAGATGATGATATTTAGTAAACATTGCATACATTTGAACTAGATAATATAAAGTAAACATTCCATATATGCATTTGATCAACATGATAAAATATAGTAAACGTTGCATGCATTTAAACAAGATGATATATAGTAAACATTGTATACATTTGAACAACATGATGATATATAGTAAATATTACATACATTTGAACAACATGAGGATATATAGTAAATATTACATACGTTTGAACAACAGGATAATATATATAGTATATATAGTAAGAACGTTTCAACAAGATTATTTGGTGTACACAAGGCATACATTTCAACCACAGGATGATGTTTAGTAAATATTGCATACATTTGAACAACATGAGGATATATAGCAAATATTACATACGTTTGAACAACAGGATAATATATATAGTATATATAGTAAGAATGTTTCAACAAGATTATTTGGTGAACACAAGGCATACATTTCAACCACAGGATGATGTTTAGTAAATATTGCATACATTTGAACAACATGAGGATATATAGTAAATATTACATACGTTTGAACAACAGGATAATATATATAGTATATATAGTAAGAACGTTTCAACAAGGTTATTTGGTGTTCACAAGGCATGCATTTTAACCACAGGATGATGTTTAGTAAATATTACATACATTTGAACAACATGAGGATATAGTAAATATTACATACGTTTGAACAAAAGGATAATATATATAGTATATATAGTAAGAACGTTTCAACAAGATTATTTGGTGTTCACAAGGCATGCATTTCAACCACAGGATAGTGTTTAGTAAATATTACATACATTTGAATAAGATTAATTGTGGTACACCTACTAGACATTTAAACAACACACAGGTGCTAGATGCTATGCAATATGTTCATATCATGCATGATATGAGATGATCGTGTTCGATATGTTCTTTGGAAGAGTGGTGTCATATTTTGTTGTAGTACAACAATTCTACACGTCATTCACTAACCGGCACTCTCTATTCAGGATTAGTCTTGTCACAAATGTGAAAACCTTTCTTCCCTAAATATCAATTTATATATCTGTGTGTACATTTCTTGTATGAAACCAAGAAGGAAAGGCGAGTTTCGGTATCGTTAACGAATTGGGAGATATACTGTTTTAGAAATTTGTGATAAATGTGAAAACTTTTCTTCCCTTAATATGAATGTATACATCAGTGTGTACAAGGTTTATATGAAATCAAGAAGGATAGGCGAGTTTCGTTATCGTTAACGTTAACGAACTGGAAGATATACTGTTTTAGAAATTTGTGATAAATGTGAAAACTTTTCTTTCCTTAATATTAATTCATACATCTGTGTGTACATAGTTTGTATGAAATCAAGAAGGATAGGCGAGTTTCGTTATCGTTAACGTTAAAGAACTGGAAGATATACTGTTTTAGAAATTTGTGATAAATGTGAAAACTTTTCTTTCCTTAATATTAATTCATACATCTGTGTGTACATAGTTTGTATGAAATCAAGAAGGATAGGCGAGTTTCGTTATCGTTAACGTTAACGAACTGGAAGATATACTGTTTTAGAAATTTGTGATAAATGTGAAAACTTTTCTTTCCTTAATATTAATTCATACATCTGTGTGTACATAGTTTGTATGAAATCAAGAAGGATAGGCGAGTTTCGTTATCGTTAACGTTAAAGAACTGGAAGATATACTGTTTTAGAAATTTGTGATAAATGTGAAAACCTTTCTTCCCTTAATATTAATTCATACATCTGTGTGTACATAGTTTGTATGAAATCAAGAAGGATAGGCGAGTTTCGTTATTGTTAAAGTTAACGAACTGGAAGATATACTGTTTTAGAAATTTGTGATAAAGTCCTTCACAATCTGGGCGTCTTCAACAGTAAACAGATTTTACATTGTTTGTTGATAATATCGGACGATGTGTAAGACATGTGACTGAATATTGCAACTAAAGTAACTCTTTGTGTTTTATATGCAGTGTCTACAGTTGTTAGGGCCAATATTAATGTAGTTTTGGAACCAGAAGCAAAACCAGCACTTATCCTATCAGGTGATGTATGTAGTGTGGGGATGAGATTGGTAGCAGGGTGCTTCGGTTAGCTTCTGCCCCACCAGTAGAAGATTGGAGACATTAACTTTAGAGATTCCCCTTGTAGATTTTCCTATGTAGTATATACATTGTTAAACCTTGTGTCCTAGTGTGTGCAAGTTGGGATTCACAGCGCGTGACTGTTTATTCTCCGGATTTAACGTTTTAAATATTTGTTTTTGGATAGGAGTGAGTGAGTGAGTTAGGTTTAACGCCGCTTTAACAGTGTTACAGTAATATCGCGGCCTGTCAGCTTAATGTGGGAGGAAAGCCCGAAATGATGAAGGTCTCAGACGTTTACTACTTCGGTGAAACCAAAAAGGGTATGGTGCTGAAAAACCTTGAAACGTAATCAGGGCGAACCGGGATTCGAACCCACAATCAAAGTTTTCGGCGTACTCGAGGGACGCAACTCTGCACTGCGAATTGCGGCGCCTTAGATGACTGGGCCACCCGTGCCCCCTCCAGAGTTTCTGACTGCTAGAGCGTACAGTACCGTCAAATGGTGGTAGCCGTTCATAGATATAGTGAGTGAGTGAGTGAGTTGGGTTTAACGCCGCTTTTAACAGTATTCCAGTTATATCGCGGCGTGTCAGCTTAATGTGGGAGGAAAGCCCGAAGTGATGCAGGTCTCAGACGTTTACCATTTCGGTGAAACCCACGAGCACGGGTATAGTGCTGACAAACCTAGAAACATAATTGGGGCGAACAGGGATTCGAACCCACAATCATAGGTTTCTGGCGTGCCCAAGGGAGGCAACTCTGCACAGCGAATCGCGGCGCCTTAGACGACTGGGCCACCCGTGCCCCCTGACTGCTAGAGCGTACAGTACCGTCAAATGGTGGTAGCCGTTCATAGATATAGTTGTCCTGGAATGGATACAGTGTAAAGTGTCAAATTAAGGTAAAGGGTATTCTGTGTGTATTTGGAATAAGCTTCAATCTTCATTCAGCTTTCAGCTACTTGTGTTTTGCTGTTTTCATATTTTCCAACTTCCAGCTTCGTAAATCGTTATTTGCCAATACTAAACAAAGTTGCTGCTTTTTGGATTATAAGAACATGCTACACTCGCTACATGCTTTTCAGCCATACTTATAAGCATTAACTGCAGAGGTAATGTGGTTCATAGGCCGGACCTGTGCTTATGTGTGAAAAACGTGATGCAGACAAGGATAAGTGTACATTCCATCTTCAGGTGGACCATAGAGGCTGAGGTGCCATGCAGTCCGGGTTTGACTTGTTTCAGGGAAGCCTATGCTTGTCGTAAGAGGCGACAAAATGAAATGTGTGGTAAGCGCGGTGACTCGGTTGATTGCGTGGTCGTTGCTCACACTATCAATCACTGGCTTGTCTGGCCCTTACTAAAATGGTTCAAAAGTTTATTACGAGTTATTGAAATAGGATATCCCAGGACTGACTTTATTGTCTCGTTGGGTTTTTATCATATCGAATAAATAAATTCTTAATTGATTTTAAAAGAAGTAAGTTTCGTACGAATCTTTACATTCAGGTATATTTTTATATGCTCTTGCAAAAAATTGTTATATTATGTGGTTGGGTGATAACAGCTGCTCCCCTTGTATTAATGTTTAAAGAATGTAGTTGTCACAATGGAATCTTAAGCCACACAATTAACACACGTGAAGCTGTTCAGTTTAAATCTACATTTATAGACTGTAGACGATATAATTACTTCGCCTATTGTTTTGACACTATAGTATCATGACGGTAAATGCTTGGCTTTGTTGGCATATGCTACACTATTATTTGTAAAGAAGCTTTTAGCAGTACATTATCGCAGTAACTAAGTACTATTAACAGTTTTTGATTACGAATTTTGGATAAAGCTAAATATATTGAATATCTTTGGTTTGTGAGTGCATTCTAAATCTATATTGTTGTCGAATAGGCTTACCTTAAACCATTCCAATATGATCAGAAGTTTTCCACATGTGTGTGTAATAATTGGTTATATATACGAACATTGTGGCTACTAAGTATAGACTGAAGTGTACTAGCAGCTAGGGTCACACCAGCTTACCCTCATAGAACTGTAACAAAATGGTTGTGTTGGACTAAAGGAGCGGCCAGTGTCCCTGACATCACTGCTGGTAACGTCACGTCCACGACGCCATCAGGTTAGTTACACCACCAACACAACCACCTACGTGCCCGACAACATATAATAAAGTCAATTGATGTAAATGAATTTAAGAAAATTTAAAATATTAATCAAGACATTACTTCATGCTTAAATTAATGCATTCGGAAGAAAAAAAACCTTGTCTATATTTATTACATATATTTGATCGAATTTTAACCTTTTGAAACTGGAGTCAATGTTGTATTTATAACCATGGCAGCACTTTTGAAAACACGATCCAATTACAAATCATGAATCATATATTATTTATGAAACACATGTACTTTTAATATAACCTCTTGGGCTTGACTATTTGAGAAGCACGACTTTGACTTTTAATTTGAAAATACAAAATATACACCTCCTCTACGGTAGGTTCGAACACAGACATAGTCTGGGAGGCGAACCCTGATGGAACTGGGGGCATCTTACAAAATACAGGAGGGGTTGTGCCAACAGAAGGTATACCCGTGTACATGGTTGTTGCCTGTTTATGCTTACACGCCACAGCATAGTAGCATATGTTTTGTCAGCAAATTGTTGGTATTAGCATAGCATAGCTAGCTTGTTTGACAAGTTGATTGTGTGGCTGATGACATGTACGTATATGTGAACATGGTCGGGTTGGGGCCTCTTTGTGTGTCCACATGTGTATAGACAGCTTTGTGTGTTGTTTCATACGTGTGTTAGATATACTTTTGCATTATACTTTAGTATTCTCGTAATTCCTAATAAGAATGGGTTACGGTGTTGTGAGTGATAAGTTGCTAAGCAACGGTTTTGTTATTTCCTAAGTGATTGTTATTATGTAGCATATGGCTGTCACGTGACATAGATACAGCAATATAAATGACGTACAGTCAAACAAGGTAAGATATAGTTTGTACACGAAACAGAATGCCAGTAAATCTTTGTGTGAATCTGGCGCTGTCCTTCAGGTGACAATTTAACTACGTTTAGAATAACTCCCACTCTCTCCTTTCAGTGTCTCTCTCTCTCTTACTCTCTCTCTCACTCTCTCACACACTTTCTCTGACTCTCACTCTCTCTCTCGCCCTCTCTCTCACTCTTTCACTCTCTCTCTCACTCTCTCACTCTCACATCTCTCACACACTTTATCTGACTCTCACTCTTTCACTCTCTCTCACTCACTCCTTCACTCTCTCACTCTCTCTCTCATTCTCTCTCTCTCATTCTCTCTCTTTCAATCTCTCAATCACTCTTTCACTCTCTCTCACTCACTCCTTCACCCTCTCACTCTCTCTAACTCTCTCTCATTCTCTCTCTTTCAATCTCTCTCTCACTCTCTCGCACTTTCTCTATCTCATTCTCTCTCTCTCTCATTTGTGTTTCTCTTCTTTTTCAGTGTAATTAATACAGAGTAATAGTGACAGCTATACGCTGCCATGTTGCTTCTGAGTACGCGGCCCTAGCATTACCACATATTATGGCTTGTGTGATATGTATATAATGCACTGCTTCGTCCTCACTAACGGTTAATGTTTCTGTCAACGTGTGCGCTTAGCGTCATGCTTGTTGTGGACAAGTACTAGTTATAACTGTTTCTGAAAACACACAGTTACACACAATTGCATGTAATAGTAGCGATATTGATATATTACCTGATATATCACGCAACTGCTCGTTCGATCAAACATACTTTGTTTTCAAACAACCAAGGGAGCTAATTGTAAATCACACCAAATCCGGCGCAGATAGACCACTTGATATTTACGAGAGCTTCAGTCATTTGCTGCCACTGACACTTACCAAACATCAACTTACAGTATGAATTGGACAAAAGCATTGTGTGTCTACGTACTCAACAGATCTGTACGTAGGTACGCAGTACACGTACGTGTATGTCTTTGAGGTTTCCGAATCTGTTCCTCTTACCTGGATGACACCGAATCTCATCGAATAGAATACGTCATTACATGAATAAAACTCAAGCCCTGGGTGATTTGGCAAGACTTGACTGCCTCAGCTCTAGAAATTTAGCACTGTTCTGGGCTCGATGTGGATTATATTACCTATTTTGTAGATATATATTTCTAAATAAGACACCTTTATGTTCGTCTTGGTGCAATTGTAGCCTGGTGTTCCTCTTTCCCAGAGGTAGAGCGTCTGGCCAGAGAGGGGAAAGTCTGGGGTTCGATCCCCGACCTCGTCATACAAGGCGTTAAGGGGCTAAAATAAAGTCTGGTCGGCTCGGAGTCAGCATACTGCGGCATGGTATCTCAGTGGACTAGCACTATAAAATCGGTATCAGTTCGGACTGGTACAAGCTGACACACACACACACACACACAAACACGTGCATGCATTTCGTTATATAACTGCCATGATCATGGACCCGACGTTAAACCCCATTTCACCCTACCTCATCGGTCATGACTCTTATATCTACATTGTGTCATTACTGTTCAGGGCGAGCATATAGACAAACAGTTGTTAGCACTAGCTTGCGGAAACGTGCTATATGCCTTAATATTAACGTGTTATGTGTTTGCGTATAATTTATGTCTACATGTAGATGCTTTTGTCTTGTGTCGTATCGATGTGTTAGTCCCTATATTGTCCTTATGAATAACTTTTCATAAATGAAAAATTAAATATTGAGTAAAATTGAAATTAACGTACATGTTCATTATTATGACAATTTTAGTAAGTACATTCAACAAATGAAATATATTTTGTGTGAATCGGTTACAAATAGACTTCAAGTATCTTTAATGCTCAGTATAGTGGCTTGTGATATGTGTCGATCTAAAGCCCGAAGTTTAGATGATGTCGTTGTTGATAGTTAATTGTTTTTAGTAGTCCACCACCAGTTGCAAATGTAATTTTGTGATGCGTTATTAGTTTTTGTTACAAGGATTTTATTGTGAAATAAAGTTGTGCTGTAACATGACAGAAACACTGCCGATGCGGAGTAACCTTTCAACTCACTCACTCACTTTGATGCTTGTCACGTGCGGTGATTGTCCTGCCCAGAGATGTGTCTCTGCACGTGCCTAACGTCTGCTTCCCACTTGCTACACCACCATCGTTGTATGCCTTTCAGCAACACCATCGACAGTTGCACCAACTACAACAGAAGCTGCAACTACACCAGCCGATACGTCAACCGTTGGTGCAACCAACCCTCCTACAACTGTTGGTGCCACCGACCCCCCTACAACACCGGGTGCAACCGACTCCCCAACAACGACTCAAGGTAATCTGTAACAAACTGGGATCACTCGCTTTTCGACGCAATGTTCCTATTTACTTGCTGGAGACATTTGCGTTTTATCCATATTTATGCTGAGACCTCATAAATCATCAGGATATTTTGCTATGAACTCGTAGTTATTAATATATTAGTTTTGAACAGTATGTTTGAAATATGACCAACACCCCTCCTCCCATCACAGATATGTGATTCCTCCATTTATATATTTATAACTTTTCCGTAGCTGTAAGGTGAAATATTTCAAATTTGCTATGAATGTTGTATACGGTGGTTGCATGGTAGCAGAGTGAGGGGGAAGCCTAGTGGTTAAAGCGTTCGTTCGCCACGCCGAAAACCAGAGTTCGATTCCCCACCAAGTAAAACCTTTCTGGTGTCCTCCGTCGTGATATTGCTGGAACATGGGTAAAATCGGCGCAAAACCAAACTATCTCACTCACTCTATTGTAGCTGTGACAGACTCAACAGCACAGCCGACAACAACGGGTGCCTCAGGGTCAACAGCCGAGCCAACAACAGCAGCTGAACCAACAACAGCAGCTGCTACAACTGCCGAGCCTTCATCAACGGCAGAACCAACAACACCAGGTTGGTGAAACAACATGATCTTTGCCACAGACGCCAATATAATATATATACAATCTCTATACTTCTATGATAAGGAAAAGGGACTCTTGCAGTCAGAATAAGTATACAATATGAAACTCACACAGTATGTAATCAATTCTAGCCGCTACTACAGAAGCAGCGACAGCAGAACCAACAACAGCAGAACCAACAGCAGAACCTACAACAGCACCTGCAACAGCGGAACCAACCACCACGGGTTATTTGTTGTTCTGCTCTAGCTTTGCTTACTCTGCTCCCCTTCTTATCCTTCGCTTTTCTTCTGCATGTCCTGACTTCCAACTCAAGTTCTTGGATCACTCTTCTCAGACTCTGCTTTCATTGCCTTCTTCATTGGGATATTTAGTACATAGAACGCATGGGATGCTTACTTTTTCGAGAACATCTGTGTCATCATTGGTTATCAAGTGAACCTTTCCTATCATTTTCTCTTTTCCTCCGTTTTACCTTTATGCCCACTAAAATCTGATTAGTTGAGAAATCAAGACTAGTTATTCTCCTGCATTAACGTTTTAAATATTTGCTTTTAGATAGGAAAGTGAATGTTATGAAACTGTTGTCAAGATCTTTTTAATACGTTGGTAATGCACATGTTAGAGATAACGGGATTAGTGGGATGTTAGTGATAATTTATAATAAGTACTGAACATAACCGTGGATTAATGCGGAAAATATGTAAATATTGGGATGAGGTACGGTTAGTCATGTGAGCTCAAATCTTCTGTGTAGAGTACCTCCCCTTTGAAGTGCCAGGAGCCGATGGCCGCGGATTTAAATCCGAATAACGCTCATGTCTCTGCGTTATACAATTTTCAAGAAGTGTTTACAATATGTAGATAGCTTGTCGATGTATTCAGGTTTATGAATTAATGCTGACGTAGTTTACTTATATAGTTTAGGGATCGTTTTCTGTCAGGGTTTTCATGTCGTTATGTGTATTTTGTCTATTCCGCCACTTTCCGCAGGCTGGCTCTAATTAAATAATGTCTGTTGCGTTCATTCCAAATGCAGCGCTTTGTTTTGCGGGTTATGAGTTCAATGACATTACTTTGTACACAGAAACAGCAACTTCGACGGCAGCAGCCTCAACTACAGCAGCGACATCCGAGGCTACAACAACAGGTTTATGTATCTTCCTGTTATTTCCATTTGAGTTTTCAGAATTGCATAAGTGATGGAGATAGATATGGAGTAAATACATGTGTAGTGTGTCCCGTCCGAATTGAAATAATATTTGTTCGTAACGTCACGTGAATATTAATACACGTTTATTTCGCCCAGTTGTGAACTGCGGTGTCTTGTGTGTTCCAAATGTATTAGTAACTAACTGTTAATATTTATATTTATGATACATTGTAAACATTAGTGTATTTGTCATAGAAAACACTAACATTTCAACAATATATATATAGCCGGAGCAACGACAGCAGCATCCACTGAGTCTGTAACAACAGCAGCATTAGTAACAACTGAAGCAGCAACAACAACAGCTGCAGTAACAACTGAAGCAGCAACAACAACAGCAGCAGCAACTACTGAAGCTGCAACGACAACAGCTCCAGCAACTACTGAAGCTGCAACAACCACAGCTGCAGCAACTACTGAAGCTGCAACAACAGCAGCAGCAACAACTGAAGCTGCAACAACAACAGCAGCAGCAACAACTGAAGCTGCAACAACAGCTGCAGCAACTACTGAAGCTGCAACAACAACAGCAGCAGCAACTACTGAAGCTGCAACAACAGCTGCAGCAACTACTGAAGCTGCAACAACAACAGCTGCAGCAACTACTGAAGCTGCAACAACAACAGCTGCAGCAACTACTGAAGCTGCAACAACAACAGAAGCAGCAACCACTGAAGCAGTAACAGCAACAACATCAGCAACAATTACAGAAGCAGTAACAACAGCAACAATTACAACAGGTTTCGAAAGCAACGACTTCATCCTGCACGTCTCACACTTTCCTTTTATCACCCACTCTTTCCTTCTGTCAACAGGAGCATGACCAGGATTAACAGGTTGCACGAAAAAGCGTTTTGCGCGCGCTCTGCACAACGGGACATATATTTTTCTATATATCAATGATATACCGAAAGAGACCGTTTGAGTTACTTTGAACTAATTACTTGCACTCATATTGTTTCAAAGGATTGACGTTCCTATGTTATATACTGAAATGTAAAGGGATACATTTCAACTGAAGGTCTAGACGTTACAATAAGTATCATGTTTGAAGCTGGGACTTCTATGTTATGAGTTTAATCAGCAACCCATGCTTGTCTTAAGAAGCGATTAACGGGATGGGGTGATCAGACTCGCTGACTTGGTTGATGCATGTCGTCATTTCGCAGTTGCGCAGATCGATGTTCATAACGTCAACCAGTGGATTGTCTAGTAAAAAAGACTTTAATCACTCGAATGAAACTTGCTGATACATTTAATTTGGATTAACATTCGTTTTTCTTTTTAAACAATACGTTACGATGTAATTGAGTCACATCCTTTCAGGCAATATGAATTTGTGTGTGTGTGTGTGTCTATAAATATATATGACTAACATTACCGGTATATTGTTTCTCATATGCACGTCTGATGATGATATGAGTCTTCTGGAAGAACAATGTCTCACATCTCTACACTCATCTTTGTTATCAACTTGCATGTGACTCTTGCCTTGGTTAGCCCAGTGTTTGTGGTGGTTGATCAGCATATATAAGATCATCGGTCGAATGTCATATTGGTATGATAGGTTCTGTTCTTTGGCATCGTCTGGATGAAACATTTACTGAAAGCGGCATCATGCCAAGCATACTCACTCATGTTCCGTCCATCCATCTTTCACCACTGCATTCGTTCAAGCATTTACTCAGCAAAGTCTCCTATCATATCAAGTGACAAAATGATCAAAATGACACCTGATTTAATGGAGCATGTCCTCACAGAAGAACATCTATCAAGATGAATATACTAAATACCGTATTCGACATAAAAAGCGCCCAGGGCGCTCTCAAAATTAGAAACAGGGGGCTCTTATCAGAATATTATTTTGGTGAAAAAAAAACAGAGTTGAAAGATTTCGTGGTTTATGCTGACAGCCTGAAATGTTTTTATACGACAGATATATTTTTCCAGAATTTAATTCCCCAAAATAAAGAATGCATGTTACACACGTATTATACACGAATATATGTCTTGTGTGCATTGATCAATCGGAATGGGTGCTAATAGCGATTGTTCACTAGCCAATATATTAAAAAATATCGCCGTGGGCGCTAATTAGAGCGGTGAGCTTATTACGTCGAATACGGTAATACAAATACAATTTCCTGAAAGTTATATCACTTCGTGCTGACGCTGGGAAGGGAAACGTGATACAAATGGTAGATTGAATTATATGGGTAAATATTACCGACCACAGTGCGCATATGAACTGAACCACTCTCAAATGATAACCACCTTGGTTTAGGCCCGACTGTAGATACAGATATAGTTTTTTTTGGTCAGTGTAAGGCACACCGTCGTGATTGTATCTCACAGTACCTGAAGATTCAGCGGAACTTATTCATATACTTCATTGTGGTGTACTATATTTGCAGCTGATGCAGGCACTGCAACATCGTCAACGATGACCCCAGTTGTGACTGTTACAACTACGATCGCTGCTGCTTCGACCACTGCTGCTGCAACAACAGCTGCTGCCTCCACCACAGCACCACCTGCTACCACCACAGCAGTCCCTGCTACCACCACGGCAGCCCCTGCTACGACAGCTGCGGCAACTGCGCCAACACCAGGTAAAACGAAATACATTGTTTAGGGACCGACCATTTAATGTTTTGAAGCTAGGTATTTGTTCAGCAACAAATACAAAACCATATATTTTGTTTTAAAATACAAATTGCATCAATGTCATTTTTGTGCCAGATTTTTTTTTCAGCAATATTAATCATAATTTGTTTTCAGGATTTTTCGGGGACAATTGTTTTCTTTTCGCTAAAATTCAAGGCCACCCCCGTCTCCGAATATCAGATGGTCGGCCCCTTAAGTGATGCGGTAACCTGTCAGATTATCTTGATTGTGTGATGTTTTCCAAATGGGGGAAACTTTAATATATCCACTGCCTTTGGCCCAGGTCAGGGGTAGGGGTAGAGTTAAGGTTAGGGTAAGAGCTTGAGTTAGGGTTAGGGTTAGGGTTAGGGTTAGGGTTAGGGTTAGGTCATTTCAATTTGTAACGTTCAAACCAGGCAGTAACTAATTAACTCACGATATGCATTGTACATATTCGTTCCTCAAGTTTGTCTTAATTTGGAACAAGATGTGACTACGATTTCCATAACAATATGTAAACACAAGAACACTATAGAGATAATAGAGACCATAAAAAGAAGGAACATTAGGAAATCAGAAACGTGTCACCAACCATAACTTGATTGTTGCTACAACTGGCGTCAAACAATACTCACTGTCTCTTACTCTCTCTTCTTCACAGCACCATCGACGGGCGTGTACCAATACACACCAGGAAGTCTGGCCGCTCAGAACGAGGTGCGTCGACTTATGCGTCTGGCTGGTTATATGGCTGACTTCATCGAGAAGATCATCAAAATGATGCCACTCATCACACCCGAGGAGTTTAAAGTCGCCCAAGCTGGAGTTGAGAAGATCCGAGGAACCACCCAACCTCAGACGACCACCCCTGCTCCAACCCCCGCACCGACATTACCTCCAGTCATCAATACCAACGTCGTTCCCCAGAAACCCTCCTACCCAACAAATCAGTTCAACCCTTACAACCCTTACAACCAGTACCCACAAAACTACAACCGGCAGGTCCTCAACAAGTACGGCCAACCCACGTGGCAGCAGAACACTAATGTTCCAACAAAGACTTGGCCATCGTACCCCCCCAGGTCTGGCCAGAACCCATGGCCTTTGCAGAACAATCAGCAGACCGCACAGACCAGCTGGCCCACACAACAGAGAGTAACGCCACGACCACAGATTCCTCAGACAGGTCAGAACTCGTGGAATGCACAGAACAAGGTTCCTGGTAAGTCTGGTGGCATGGTACTGAACATGTGTCAACAACACATAACCAATTCCTGATAATAGTTGTTTGAAAAAAATGGTCATCATCTGTTTCTAGTTTTATTGACATGATGTCATTGACTTTCTTGAACATGTTTCGTTTATTTGTTTATTGTCACACTCCAGTACTCCAGCTGTACGACGGCGGTCCGTAAATAATCGAGTTTGGGCCAGGCAGTCCAGTAATTGACATCATGAGCATCGATCTACCTTATTGGGATACGATGACATACATCACCAATCGATACTTGTCGTACGAGGCGACGAATTGGATTGAATGGTCAGAATCGGTTTTATAATTGATTGTATACTTTCGTACCCCGACGGCTGGAGACGCTGTTCATAATATCAATCACTGGTTTGTCTGAACGAGACTCGATCATTTACAGGCCACCTTCATATAGCTGGGCTATCGCAAAAAAAATAAAATGGTTTTGATGAAATATCCAAACTTGCTGCATGATACTCCCTGACATTATATAAAGTTTCCCTTGATGGAAGCGAGATAATTATATGAAGGGTATGCACTCATACCGACGTATGTGTTCCTGAACGGCTGCAAATTTCCTGATTTGGCTACCAGTACAGAAACACAAGAACATGCCTCTGAGCCGAATAAAATACCTGATAGTCAGAGTCCTTTCAAAGCTGGAATTTTGTGCGGCGACAAACAACAAACACAATACAAATAACATATGTATGATCTGGGGTTCTGTTCCTATCCAGACTACCCAAGAGTTCAACACTAAGTGACAGGCATTCACATCTTTCGTAAAGATTTGATTTGTGTAAACAGGCAGTTGACCCATGTTTTGAAAGGCAAAAATGGAATTGATGACATGTTTTACACGCTACATCAAAATAAAATCATGAATAATTTCTATCTCCCACTCGTAGCTGTAAATCCGTACAACCAGCCAAACACTGCCCCGAAGACTGGCATCAAGTCCCCCTACGGCAATCAGGGAATCATGGCACCGACGTCAGGTACACCAGCAGGAGTCGACCCCTCTAAGATCCGCTATTTCGGTACAGTCACCACCACGCAGGCTCCACAGCTCAGGCCCTACCCGCCCTACCAGAACATGCAGCGCTTCCAGCCTCCTACATTCGGCCAAGTTTTTCCCCCGAGCTACTCCAACATGTTCGGTAGAAGCCAGAACATGAACAGACCAGTGCCCACACCAATGGTGTCACAGAGGCAACAGCAGCAACGACAACAACAACAGCAACAACAGAGCAATCAAAATGGTGAGTTAGTTACGCGAACGGAACATGGCCTCATTTCACGAAGAGATCGTTTGAGTGGTAAATCAATGTTAATGCCTGGGAATCGTCTTGACGTTAAGATTGTTTTTTGAATCCAACTCTGGACTTATACTCTTAGAAAGCATATACTCTTATAAAATTCATATGTTTTTCCTTATGACTAGTGCGATCCGAATGCACACATATATTACAGATCAAACATTTTTTATGCTAAATATTTTTTCCATAATACATTTCTCTGATCCCTAATTGAACTGTGAATATTTCGTAATACATTTCTCTGATCTCTAATCGGACTATGGGTATTTCGTTATATATTTCTCTGATCCCTAATTGAACTGTGAATATTTCGTAATACATTTTCTGATCTCTAATCGGACTGTGAATATTTCATAATACATTTCTCTGATATCTGATTGGACTGTGAATATTTCGTAATACATTTCTCTGATCTCTAATCAGACTATGAATATTTCGTTATATATTTCTCAGATCCCTAATTGGACTGTGAATATTTCGTAATACATTTCTCTGATCTCTAATCTGACTATGAATATTTCGTTATATATTTCTCTGATCCCTAATTGGACTGTGAATACATTTCTCTGATCTCTAATCGGACTATGAATATTTCGTTATATATTTCTCTGATCCCTAATTGGACTGTGAATACATTTCTCTGATCTCTAATCGGACTATGAATTTTTCGTTAAACATTTCTCTGATCTCTAATCGGACTGTGAATATTTCGCGATACATTTCTCTAATCCGTAATTGGTCTGTAAATATTTCGTAATACATTTCTCTGATCTCTAATTGGTCTGTAAATAATTCATAATACATTTGATCAAATCACATTCATCACTGAAGATAATTTTAGTTACATGTTCAATTATAATTCTCTTATATTTCAGTTGCTGCAATAGTTTTGAACGGTAGGTCAATAACTGTTATGCATGCAGAACGTTTTAATATGACTTGAATATGGCATTAATATATGTAATATCTTTACTGACAATTTTTATTAGAGTAAGGTGTGTTGATGTAGAAAGGAGATCAATACTAGTATTTGTCAAGGTTTATCTGAAATAAAGTAAATACTATATTAGAATCAAGATGGTACCATACGCTTCTTATCAAACATAAGAAACAAGGAAAACTGATTACTTTCATAAAAAGTTGAATTTAAACATTTCGCATAATTTCAGTGTATTGTTTAATTCCTGATATTTATTGCAAGTCTAAACGTTATCTCACAATCGTCATCACATTGTCTTTCAGCTTTACAAACAGGAGGTAAGTGACTCAATATTTGATATGCATTAATAGCATTTACTTAAAACTAGCCTATGTTGAAATCAATTTATCATTAATGCATGGATCGAAGGTTTTGTTAAATAAGAGTATTTGTTATCTTGGTCTCAGTCGTTGATTACAATGATCCTCCTCATGGATCTGACATCAGCTGTAACACTCTATCAACAACGGTTTCCTAGAAACGTTTTTAAATATCACAATCTTTTTACTTTTCCAAAGAATTGTCAGAGTGAAATTAATTCATGTCTATTATGTTTTTTGCAGAGGTGAACCCTTCGATGCTACTTTTTAGTAAGTAATTATCAATTATTTTGTAAGTGTTCGAACTCGCATACTGTAAGGAAATATCAAAATGACGCCACTCTTTCAGTGAGTGAGTGAGTGAGTGAGTGAGTGAGTGAGTGAGTATGGTTTTACTATTAATATACAGAGTATGTTATTGCTATCACATCTTGAAGACAGAAACACAAATGGGATTCCAATGTGTACTGAATAACATAAAATATAATTGCACAAAGTTAATATATTTGAACTATGAATTTACCGAGTGTGGTATAATACCGATCGTATCTTGAAGACAGAAGTGGGTGAGTGAGTATGGTTTTACGCCGCTTTTAGCAATATTCCAGCAATATCACGGCGGGGGACACCAGAAATTGGCTTCACACAGTGTAACCATGTCGGGAATCGAACCCGGGTCTTCGGCGCGACGAGCGAACGCTTTAACCACTAGGCTACCCGACCGCCCCTTCTATCAGTGATTGTAGCTGTATCATTATCATTATCTTAGTACATGCACATAATTATCAACTGAGGAAGGTTATCCACTTTGCAGAGTTAAGTCCCTTGGATGGTCCATGATCCAATGAATTTTCACCCTACGTTTGTCAGCACGATACTCCTGGGAGTCACCAGTGTGGTAAACGTCTTTGGCCTGGCCATTCAATCGGCCATCAATTAGACATTCCAAAATCTTCTTTTGTTCAGATTTCAAATTTTGAATCGATATTTTTCAAAGTTCAGTCTGGAATGGAAGTCGACGGTTTGAAACTAGTGCCATAAAGCTCGAAAAGGGCGTTGTCTGATTGGCCAATGTCGACTTCTTGTTAGTCATTAATTGTTCTGTCAAAGTTCGAGAAAGGTCGTTCTGATATGGGCTGTAATCGGCCCTCCGACCTTTTTGTAGCAGTAGCTTTGTTTGTGTGTTTCTTCACTCAGCAATAGTCCAGCTATATGACTCAGGTGTGTAAATAATCGACATCATGAGCATCGATCGATCCATGCAACTGAAATACGAAAACATGCATCAACCAAGTCAGCGAATCTGTGTGTCTGTGTCTGTCTGTGACTGAGTGTGTGGGTGTGGTGAGTTAAGGCCAGATGTTGGTTATTTCCTGGTTTACGGATATTCACTCACCAACACATGCAACAAGTTTGATCAATTCATATTTATTACTTAATAGTTGTGTACTTGTATCGTCGACATTGAAAGGACTAACGTTAATTCAACCAAAGGTGATGAAAAAAGACGGATTACGCAGGGATCATGCTTTTACTTCGAAACAAACGAACTTCGATACATCCCAGGTTCGACATATCGGTGTTTGACTGTTTCATATATTGATTATTTAGATATTGGGAATTTTGATTGTTTGAATAGGTAATTCGAAAAATATTAATAGTTTCGCCTCAGTACAGCTAAAGTTAAGACGATCTTTGTTTAATGTCACGGAATTAATTTTCCTTTCTAGGTTTACCGAAACAAGCACGGACTAATCCAGGTTTGTCAATATTCCTTATTTGTTTTTTTAGTTGAATGAGGGTGTGAGTGAGTATGGTCTTACGCCGCTTTAAGCAACACTCCAGCAATATCACGGCGGGGAACACGAATAATGGTAATTCGGTACTTCACACATTGTGTCATGTGGGGAATCGAACCTGGGCCTGCGGTGTGACTAGCGAACGCTTTAGCCACTAGGCCACCCCATGCCTGAAACGAACAAAATCATACACATATGTAATAGTGCATGTTGTTGAATGAGAATTCATTCATAAGTACTTTGATACAGGTTTCCCTAAACCGCGTGAGTATAACTCCAAAACTTCGTCTTGATGGTATCATGTACATACAGTGATCTGATCCTGAAGCCACATCGATAAATGCTTTATTTATATCTCTGAATGTGAATCTTTGTAACAGTTATGAAATTGATACACTGCATACAGTACATGTTGACTATAGCATGGCGTGTATCTATCCCAGCTGATCACTAAATGTGTATTTACTTTGTTTGCAGTTGTCCAGTCGATAATTGGTAAGCATGGAGACTATCACCAGCTTTTAGCTTTGTTTGTTTGTTTTGTTTTGTTTAACGCCGCACTAAACAATATTCCAGCTATATGACGGCGGTTTGTAAAATAATCAAGTCTGGACCAGGGAATCCAGTGATTGACATCATGAGCATCGATCCACGCAATTGAGATCGATGACATGTATCAACCAAGTCAGCGAGCCTGACCACCCGATCCCGTTAGTCGCCTCTTACGACAAGCATAACCAGCTTTTAGTATTACATGTGTTATGTTATTCCTGTAGAAATGTGTATGAATAAGTAAAAACAGGTTCCGTGAATATTAATTACCTTGGTAACGCGAGTGACCGGTTCAAATGACCCTCCATTTACTTCGCTGCAATGTTGTGTGGCTAAGCTATTGTTTATTCGACGTTAAATCACACTATGCAGTGGCGTCTTTCACCAGTTTGTACAAAAGGTGTAGGATATAATGCTTGAATATATCTTTTAACAGTTTATACACTGTATATCACATCGATGTGTTATTGTTATATGTGTGTTATGTGTTGAAGTTAGTGTGATTGGCTAAAGGCCGTGGTTGAAGTTAGTGTGATTGGTTGACTGGCCGGGGTTGAAGTTAGTGTGATTGGCTGAAGGCCGTGGTTGAAGATAGTGTGATTGGTTGACTGGCCGAGGTTGATGTCAGTGTGATTGTTTGGCTGGCCGTGATTGAAGTTAGTGGGATTGGTTTAAGGCCGTGGTTGAAGTTAGTGTGATTGGTTTAAGGACGTGGTTGAAGTTAGTGTAATTGGTTTAAGGCCGTGGTTGAAGTTAGTGTGTTTGGTTGGCTGGCCGTGGTTGAAGTTAGTGTGATTGGTTTAAGGCCGTGGTTGAAGTTAGTGTGATTTGTTGAAGGCCGTGGTTGAAGTTAGTGTGATTGGTTTAAGGCCGTGGTTGAAGGTAGTGTGATTGGTTGACTGGCGTGGTTATGGTAGAATGTTAACGTGGCTTGTGCATGGTAGAATGATCTGAATGGTATTGGTCTGTTTCCTTAGCTTGGGTGTTGCAGAATGGCAATGGACTGTTAGCATGGCGTGAGAGTGTAGGTATATCTTTGGTTCTTTAAAGTGGTTTGATAGAAGTGATATGTGAGTGCTTAAATGAGAGATGTTTGCATGGTGTCCTTGTTTAGGAGGTTTAGAGTAAAGAGAACAACTCATGGTGTGTGTCGGTGTTTCTGACATGTGTCATGGTGTGTGTCGGTGTTACTGACATGTGTCATGGTGTATGTCGGTGTCACCGACATGGTAAAGGCTATGAAACAGGAGAATGAGTAAGTAAAGTAAAATTATGTCTTTGAACATAAACAAAATGCAAGATATATTTTAAAGATTTTCATGTTTTGAATGTGCCATCCATTTCTTTCCTCAGCAAACCCTGATATGTTTACGGAAATGGGTAAGTAATGAGTTCTATTTGAGATATTTCAGATAAATTGTTAAAACAGCAATGATGTGGTAAATAGTTTATTGGTGTGCAACGAAAAAAGTAGATAACCATAAAAAATCCTCCTAAACATAAAATGGATGATATCAGATTTGAGTTTAACATTTAACCAGGAGAAGTTCATGGGCACACACAATAGGTTAATTTATGGTATCTCATGCGTGTTTATTTTCTTGCAGCCGAGACACCCGCAGGAATAGCTACTATCATGAGTAAGTAATACTTATAATGATAATAATGATGATGATGATGATAATAATAATAATAATCCGGATTTGAAAGTATGTAATCCGAACAGTCACGTGACCTCGAATACCGGAAGCGAGTGTAAACTATATTTAATCGTGGTCGAAGGTTTGAGTGTTCGGTAATCAGGTCCAGGTGAGGGGGCTTGAACTTGACAGCGGTGCATAACTACAAAGAAACATAAAATATCCATTTCGAAAAATGCTAATATCAAAATACTATAATTCTAATTCTAACATTTTATTTCAGGAATGATGGGCTAACAAGGCTAACTGGCATCGAGGTATAACTTCACACGAAGGTATTATTACTATATTTCATGTTTTTTAGGTATGTAAATATATAATTCCGATTTCTTTGCAATATGTTTTATGAATAAAGAAACAAGGATTTGGTGAAAAAAAGAAGTGTCAATAATGCAGATGTTAGATTACAGCGCTTGTCCATTTTACTCAACTAATCTCTTGTTGACTGGGGGCGGTCGGATAGCCTAGTGGTTAAAGCGTTAGCTCGTCACGCCGAAGACCCGGGTTCGATTTCCGACATGGGTACAATGTGTGAAGCCTAGTTCTGGTGTCCCCCGCCGTGATATTGCTGGAATATTGCTAAAAGCGGCGTAAAACCATACTCACCCACTCACTTGATGACTGAAGATGTGCTGATGCGGCAAAAAACATTATCACTCACTCTAGGTGAATACAGAAGTAGTGAATCTGAAACAAAAGTAACAATGGCTGAATATATCAGAAACAATATGTTCAGGGATGCTGCAAATGTGATTTGTTTCGTGGGCGGACTGGGCAAAGCTGTTGTTCTATGTGTTAAATAATTTGTCCTTGACCTTCACTGTCAATGCCTCGCGCTCGACATTAAGGGGCTAAAACAAAGACTGGTTGGCTCGGAATCAGTATACTGTGTCTGAGTGGACCGCCTCCGTGGTCTAGTTGTAGAGCGTCCGCCCGGAGAGCAGAAGGTCCGGGGTTCGATCTCAGGCATACCAAAAGACGTTAAAAGATGGTACTTGTTGTTACCCTGTCTGGCGCTCGTCATTAAGGGGCTAAAACAAGGACTGGTCGACTCGGAGTCAGTATATTGTGTCTGAGTGGGGTATTCATGTTAAACTGCCGCATGGAATCTCAGTGGGCTAGCACTATAAATCGGCATAGGGCCGGACTAGTACAAGCAGCCACACAATCACGTACACGTACATGCACGTCGCTATATAAGTGCAATAATCTTGGACGCGACGTTAAACCCAATTTCACCTCACCTCACCTGTGTCTGAGTGGGGTATTCATGTTAAACTGCCGCATGGAATCTCAGTGGGCTAGCACTATAAATCGGCATAGGGCCGGACTAGTACAAGTAGCTACGCACACACACACACGGCATGCACGTCGCTATATACGTGCAACAATCTTAAACGCGACGTTCACGTTACCTCATCAAAGTGGCAAACGTTTAAGACGTGAATCACATTGCTCTTTCGGCCAACGATAAACGGCCACGCCATGACGTAACTGACACATTGTTCATGGCACCGTAAAACACTACTCACACACTCATCAACGTCGTCAACGGCGTGTATACATTGACAAAGATGTTGCTGTTGCGGTATTACTTATCTGTGTGTACAATGCAGTAAATGTATCGTTCTTCTTGATATCTCTTTCAGCGCAGATATCGTTGGACAAGAGATGGAATAAGGGGATACAACGCTCTCAGAATCCAACGTTTCGAATGACCTTGGTGGTAGCAGAATCCTACTTACGAACTCCCGCAGAGCCTGCATAACACAGGGCTCTAAATGTGCATTTCATATATCATTTTACGAACAGAAGTCCTAATATCCCTTTACAAGGGCATATTTGAGTAAACGAAATTCATTTTAACCGAATACGACCCAATATGGTCTTGCATATTTTTCACTTTTGATAAATAATTTTCGGTCAGAAGTCAAGCTGCTCATCGACGCAAATATTTATTTTCACAATTTCAACATATTTCTGTATTGTATATGCTCTCTTGTGCGAAGAGCAATCTTGAATGTGACAATCACTGTTGCATTTCTGTAGATTGCCCGAATTGAAATATGAAAAAGTCAGTTCATAATTTATTCGAATCGATAGCAAAGTAGGCATCGCGTGATTGTAAATATTTATTGGAAAGTAAGGTTGGCAAATTTTTGACATTGTAATCAAATAATAATGATTACTTGTTAATTTAATTATTTTGCTGTGAGAAAAACAAAGTATTGCAAAATAAACAATATTTCATCATATCCTCCGTGTATGTCTTTGTTTTGTATAATCTTCTGCATGGAAGCCAGGAGCAATTGCGACCCCGGGGAGTACGGGGATGCGACAAGACGAGTTCGGTCCACTCGATTTCTTCTCGTACAGATTCGCTGTGCGGAGTTGCGTCCCTTGGGCACTCCAGAAACCTATGATTGTTGGTTCGAATCCCGGTTCGCCCCGATTATGTTTCTAGGTTTGTCAGCACCATACCCGTGCTCAGTGGTAAACGTCTGAGACCTGCATCACTTCGGGCTTTCCTCACACATTAACCTAACACGCCGTGATACAACTGGAAAACTGTTAAAAGCGGTGTCAAACCAAACTCATTCACTCACTTACTCTTCTCGTACATCCATAACCTCGGCAAGCAATGTCGTAGGGACACTGCATACATTCTGATCCAGTGGAACTATTGAACGTCAACACAATAGTCTAAGTAGTCTCGATTATACCAGGAAACAGATTCCAGTGGATGTAAACATCAAAATAGAGGTGACAATTATGTGAATGGATCACTGGAAATCAGTCCTGTGCCTGGTACTGGCGAAACTTGTAGACATGTCCTGTCGTACCCTGTGAAGCGACACGCCACAAGCTACACGGCCGTCGTTTTGAAGACAGTAATGCGGTATACACTTTGATTTGAAGACTGAAGGAAACAGATTTGGTTGGTTGGTTTGATGTTTTACACCGCACTCCGCAATATTCGAGCTATATGACGGCGGTCTGTAAATAATCGGGTGGTGAGGCTCGCTGACTTGGTTGATGCATGTCATCGTATCCCAAATGCGTGGAGTGATGCTTAGGAAGTCAATCACAGGATTGTCTGGTCCAGACTCGATTATTTACAGACCGCCGTAATACAGCTGGGATATCGATATTGCTGAGTGCGGCGTTAACCAACCAACCAACCAACAAACAAACAAACAAACTAACAAACAAACACTGACAGCGTGGACATGGCCCCTGACATGGAGACGATGGTCCCTTGTCTCGCCATCATTTCAAGTTAGCATCCGGGAAACTGCCACCCGTAAAAATATATCACCCCCTCAAACGAAAACAATAAGAAACAAACAAGGAACAAACGAACTAAAATTAAAACAAAATGAAAATAAATACCCCCCCCCCCCCCCCCCCCCCCGCCACTGCACACACACGTAACAAAACAACAACAAAACAAACTAAAACAAAGCAAAAAAACAAAAACCTTAACCCAAAACAATCAAAACAAATAACTTAAAATTAGCAACAAAAAATCAAATAAAATCGGATAAATTAAACTATTTCCATCCCATTTGTGTGTACAACATCCATGCGTCCCCAACATTTAATTCCTGACGTCCGTTACACAGATGCATCTCCCACACGTCACTCCGTAAACAAAACTTTGTTGTAGCAACTAGTGGTTGTTCATTGGAGTGCCGACCTACATACGCCCCATGCTTCGGTTATATTCCAGCTGAACTAGGAACTGTTCAACAGAACGCAGGTAATTGTTGTCTTGTACGCAGCAGATATAATCTATATCTAAACAACAAAATCAGTAAACGCGCTTTCGTGTCACTGGATTGTCTGGTCCAGACTAGCTATCGTTTAATTGTCTGGGGACGACGCGATTGTTCACAGGCCACCGTCGTATGATGTGCTAAGTGCTGATGTGTGGCTTCAGGCAAGTAACGAACACTTACTTTCTTATGCAAATTGTGTGAGCGGTACGGGCTAGAGCAGGACATGCTTACCCTTCTCGCGAACACCTGTTGACATCACTGATTTTTAGTGATCCATTGATATATTTTCCAGCATCATTTGGCCTTTTATGCACAATGGAATCTGAAGCTGGCGTTGAGGTATTTGACTACTCGGCAGTATTGGGATACGATAACATGCATTAACCAAGTCAGCGAGCCTGACCACCCGATCCCGTTAGTCGCCTCTTACGACAAGTATAGTCGCCTTTAACAGCAAACATGGGTTGCTGAAGACCTATTCTACTCTGAATATTCCCCATTTTTCAGAACGTCCAGCCCTAACTGACTGTGGTCATGTCCAATTACAGATGACCACATAAACCCGACCTTTCTGAGATATTGCACGTACGTACCCGCCATGTTGACTATAGCATGGCGTGTATCTATACCAGCTGATCACTAAATGTGTATTTACTTTGTTTGCAGTTGTCCAGTCGATAATTGGTAAGCATGAAGACAATCACCAGCTTTTAGTTTTGTTTGTTTGTTTTGTTTTGTTTAACGCCGCACTCAACAATATTCCAGCTATATGACGGCGGTTTCTAAAATAATCAAGTCTGGACCAGGCAATCCAGTGATTGACATCATGAGCATCGATCCACGCAATTGAGATCGATGACTTGTATCAACCAAGTCAGCGAGCCTGACCACCTGATCCCGTTAGTCGCCTCTTACGACAAGTATAGTCGCCTTTAACAGTAAACATGGGTTGCTGAAGACCTATTCTTCTCTGGATATTCCCCATTTTTCAGAACGTCCAGCCCTAACTGACTGTGGTCATGTCCGATAATAGATGACCACATAAACCCGACCTTTCTGAGATATTGCACGTACGTGCCCGCCTAGCCAACTCCCACACGGTAGGTAATAAAATCTCCTTGTTTGTGATGTCAGCCACAATATGGTTCAACTTATACCGGTCTGCGAGAAATTAATAACTGTGTCACACAAACATCACACAACAAAACTGAGCAATAATCAAGCTATATGTAGGCGGTCTGTAAACAATCGATTTTAGACCAGACAATCCAGTGAATGACATCACAAGCATCGATCCACGCAATTGGGATATAATGGCACGCATCAACCTAGTCAACGAGTCTGACCACCCAATCTCGTTAGTCGCCTCTTACGACACGCAAAGTCTCCTTTTACGGCAAGCATGGGTTGCCAAAAGCCTATTCTATCCCGGATCTTCACGGTTAAGTGAAGATGCAAATTACTCTCGTGTTTGACTTTGGTTTTGAGACTGATAGACATAATTATAAGATAAATTAGTCATGCTCTAGTGTTAATAATTGGAAGAGGACACATGTTTTGTTTAGGAGTATGAACAAATATATTATCCTGGACAGAACATGATGTCTTGAAAGATTCACAACCTCAAATGATTATGTTTATTGTACAAAGAATAACAACTCATTTACTCCATTAAATATTCCTGTAGTTATGCGATGCTCCTTGGAGATATAGCATTGATCCGTATTACTTACAATATTTAAATGCATTTAGTAGTTTATGAAATATGAACCGCTCTGTGTGAATAGACCGTTACTGGTAAACAATACCATTGAAGATAAAAAACTTGTGACTGCCAAAACATTTCAGACTGCTGCATACATGTTGGTCCTATGACAGTGTCAGCCGAATTCTGCGGTAAAATAATCAAAATTCTGCGGTAACATTTTCAAAATTCTGCAGAAAAATGACATAAATCCTGCTGATTTTTTTCCCCTTTAAATTATATTTTTAGGATATAATGTGAACTTATGTAGAATATTTAAAAGTGAGAACCATTTGTTTCAACCTTCGTTGTACTTTAGGATCCATTTGTCATATGTTTGGATATCAATTAAGTGCATAATTCGATTAGGAAAGTTTGAAAATAATCAAACTAGTGATTGGTAAAAGAGCAATTTCCGCGATTTTTCTGCAGTTCTGTGGTATGTCACATTTTCTGCAAGTCTTTCCGCGTGCGCGAAATTGCAGAATTCGTCTGGGACTGATATTATCACAGGTGACTTCTCTATTGTTGACAATAACAATCTTCGTAAGTTATTCACATATGGCCCAAAATATCGTGAATACTCTGCTTTGAACTGGGATCACAACTTTAGAATAATTAAATATGCTGTCGAAGTGTATGCTTTTGGCTTGACTCTAAAACCTGACAACATGTCCTTTCCTCTTTTGTACTGGATATCATGCTGGGTCCAGTAACTGTACCTACATATCCCTGTTTCAAGTGAGTGAGTGGGTGAGGTTGGTTTTACGCCGCTTTAAGCAATATTCCAGCAATATCACGGCGGGGGACACCAGAAATGGGCTTCACACATTGTACCTATATTTGGAATTGAACCCGGGTCTTCAGCGTGACGAGCGAACGCTGTAACCACTAGGCTACCCGACCGCCCTGTTTCAGAGGTCAACCATAATCCTTACTACGACCAAGGAAGACGTTTCATTACAGTCACAGACAGCATTTGAGATAATTGATAATAATTGATAATTGATAATTGTGGATTCTCAAAACTTAAAGGTTGGCTTGAAGGTTTGCTTTCTCAGGTTAGAAACGGGGGCACGGGTGGCCCAGTCGTCTAAGGCGCCGCGATTCGCTGTGCAGAGTTGCGTCCCTTGGGCACGCCAGAAAACTATGATTGTGGGTTCGAATCCCGGTTCGCCCCGATTATGTTTCAAGGTTTGTCAGCACCATACCCGTGCTCGTGGTAAACGTCTGAGACCGGCATCACTTCGGGCTTTCCTCCCACATTAAGCTGACACGCCGTCATATAACTGGAATACTGTTAAAAGCGGCGTTAAACCCAACTCACTCACTCACTAAGGTTAGAACCAAATGGTTCAAATGTTTCAAAACAGGTGATTCGTTCAACTTAGTACACCATTACCCCACAAGACGAACTTACAGAAATACTTCATCCTTGAAGCAGTGGTTACTCAAAGCTGTAGTATTACAATATGATGTTATTGTATGAAAACCAAGGAATCAGTAATTTGGTATATGGTGTATAATCCTTATTAAATGATGGCGGATATGGATATGTTTGGCATAATCAATGTGTACCAAATAATCCAGATGCGTTCTTATAATCTAACCGCCAACGACTCAGTAATATTTACTTACCAAAATGGACATCGCACGTTTTATGTTCAGAAAAATACAATTATTACAAGTTTATTTCCCCAGAATACTATTTGCCTGATGTCACTACTAA